ATGACGAGCAGCATGTTCAACTTCAACCTCCTGTTGAATCCTTTGAATTTTTTCCAGGGAATTAGAGACATTCTCCTTTTTCCAATGGCTTAAAGCTTTACGACATCTTCTCAGCCTATGGGAAACAGATTGACCATAAGGGGAATTCGGAGAAAGCCAAGCAGATTTGATAGCCTCCAACACAAGAGGCTGATGTAACATTCTCTTATCGAACCTGAAGGATCCTCTAAATTTCTCCTGAGAAGAGAACAGCTGAACCAAAACAGGGCGATGGTCAGATCCTTTCTTCTCCAAAAACAACTGATTAGAAGCCGGGAAACAACTGAACCATTCCTTATTGCCAAAACATCTATCCAATCTGCATTGGATCCACATGTCATGTCTTCTACCTCCCCATGTAAAGCCATTCCCAGAACTGGCTAGTTCAGTCATATCACAAGCATTTAACATTTCTGCAAAATCCACAAACGAAGCTTCACTCCTCCTCGGGCCTCCCATCTTTTCCCCATTATGGAGAATTTCATTAAAGTCACCAACTAGGCACCAACTAGTCTTCCGAAGGATTCCCAACCTAGTGATTCTCTCCCAAACAAGATTCTTGAGTTCACTATTAGGGTTTCCATAAACACAAGAAACAAAAAATTTGGAAGGGCCAAACTCAACTTGCAAATCCAGAACATTTTTATCTGCGAATAAAAACTCCACTGAGACATCCTTTTTCCAAAATAATGCAAGCCCTCCACATCTTCCCACAGGATCCACCGTATATACCTTGTCATAATCTAACCATACTTGAATATCTACAATTACATTCCTGATGTTCATGGTCTCCATCAGAAATACAATCTCCGGGAAATGCTTTTTCCACATCTCCAAGAGACGAGGAATCGTCAGGTCTTGAGGCCGTCCCAAACCCTGGCAATTCCAGCTCAGAATGCTCATTAGATAAGGGACAGTCCCCCACTTGGGACCATCTCTTTTTTTGCTGAGCCTTGCAGCTTTTGCTTCCACCATAATACCCTTTCATGCCTTCCTTTTGCCCACAACTCCTTCCTCTAATCCCGGATTCTTGACAATTTCACCAGGGATTTTATCTTTACCATTTACTTGTGCTTTCCTCTGATTCTTAGTAGGTCGTTTTCTTTGAGTAGCCTTTTTAGTCATAGTCCCGGATGAACCAGATTCAAAAGAACCAGTCCTAAAAACCGTCGGACTAGACAAAATTGGCACAGAGAAGAGACATAACTGATTTGAGTCTTCAGCAAATCCCAATGATTCACTCCAATCAGACACAGGACCAGCTTGATTAGCTCTAATTGCAGTAGCCATTAACTTTCCCCCACCCATAGAAGCATTATCTGACTTTGAGGAAGCGTCTGGTGAGACATAGTCAAAAACTATGCCTTTTCCTTTGTTGATGTCTTTGGAAATAATAGGAGGAGGCTCCATTCTCAAAACTGTTTTCTGAAGGAAGGGATCTTTTTCTGTTTCAGCAACTGAAGACCTAACTCTTTCTTCTCTCAGTTTACGCTCCTCATCCTTCCCCGCCAAAAGGTATTGCCTCATACCTTCTAAAACATCATGAGCAATGCGAGGTCTTCCCAGAACCGGGTGCAATCCCACTTGTTCTTCCGTCAGAATCCCAAATAAAGGATCATTCTATTTAAGCACCAGAGTTGGTTTCGGTTTTTTTAACCTTCTTCCCGAGTTTTCTGTCGATAGTTTGATCCAACCTCTGCTTAATCAGAAGCGGGCAAAGATCCCTCTCATGAGTCAGCCTTTGACAGAAGTAGCAGCGCTTCTGTATCCTCTCATAGTGATAATAGACAGTAGTCTTCAACCCTCCAGGGAGATTGATCTCTTTCGACTTCCTTAGAGGTCTGCCAACATCGAATTTTATCTTAACTCTCACAAAGTCTTGATTTTGGGGCTTATCCGGAACCACTACCGCTTCAATGACTTGACCCACCAAGTCGCCTAATAGAGTAATCGCTTTCTCCGTATAATAATTTATAGGAATGTTACGAATTTGAACCCAAAGCTCAATGAATTGCAGCGAGTCTTGAGCAGGGTGTTCAGTCCACCTTTCCACCGCAATGGTCCATTCATTGAAGGTATGGACTCCTTTTTCCAGAATTTCCACGAGATCATGTTCATACTTGAAGATGAACTGGAACCTCTCGTTAGATAAAGCTATACCACGCACTCTCCCAACCTTTTGCCACTTCTTTGGCATGTTGAGAATCAAATTTGACATGCTTTGATTGTCAGGGTTAAGCAAACGACCAACCAAACTCAGAATGTTCCTCTCACACGAACGAAATTGAGGAAGATCTGGCATCTCAAATGGAACATCCACATCATCTAGTGACATGGCCATCAGGGCCTTATCCATAGCAGCCGACATCGAAAATAGACACAAATTGCAACCTTCACCGCCGCGACAAACACACAGAACCTTCAAACTTCTTCCGCACCAGAACCAGGAGCAGGGGAGCCGAGAAAAAGCGATTCACAAACCCCACACCGAACAAGATACCGGAAAGAGGAAGAAACACTAAGCGAAACAGATCTTGAAAGGCTGAAAGTCAAGAACAGAAAGCTCAAACCCTAGCCGTCTTCAAAGAGAAACACGAATTTAGGGTAAAACAGATGAAAAACGCTGAGTTTTAGACTAAGGGATAAGGTTTAATCCAGCCAATAGTTCTATTTCCTACAAAGTGAAAGACTCTATCAGGAAAAGAAGGTCTTAAGCCCAAAAGAGGGAATCGTTTGGTGAGTAAATTGTATTGCTAGTTTTGTACAACTCTTTTTGAAATCAGTTATAGAAATAAATTTTTTTCTTACATTAAAAAAAGTTCGGAAAAAAATATTGAAAAAATATCTATATTTTATTATATTTGGGAAAAACGATCTATTTCCCCCTAGAACTATTTACATCACACCAGATCCACACCATTCTACGACCTCGTGCTAAATATCCCTGAAAAATCATTTCTCAACTTATATCCCCTCGAAATAATAGTTCCAAACCTATTTCTCCCCCAAATTATAGTTCTAAACTTATATCTCCATAAATCTTGGTTTTCCTCGATTTCCGGTTAACAAAACAAAATTAAACCACCTAAAAACCATACTAAACCGAATTAAACCCCAATTACAGCAAATAACCATGACCCAGATCTGATTTCAATTAAAACCCAACCCAACCCAAGCGTTCCAACTTCTTCTTCATTGTCGCAGAGAGAAAGATAAGAGTATACTCAAAATCTGATTCCAGATTCAATCATGGGCAAAAGAGGTTGGTGTGTTTCTCTAAACCTAAGCTTTTTCGATTGATTTCGTCAAATTGTAAAAGCAAATCAACATGGACTCGGCTCCTCTCTCTCTCTCTCTCTGTCATTGTAAATCGGATCTCCGAGCTTTTGTGTTCGGCATCAATGGCGGAAGAGATGGAGGAAAACGTCTTTTTCACCGCCATAAAGCTCACACCACCGTTGTTCTGGATTTTTCCATATCAGAGGAGCTCGTTTAGATTGTAGCTTACCTGATACACTTGCTCAAGTGTCTGCATTGTACCTCTCCGGTGATGGTTGTGATTTGTTTTGATTCCAGATACTCTAGGTTATGTATCTTATCGCAAAAATTCGTCGCCCATGGAAGCAGAGGCGGAATTGTATTAATTATTTGATTTCCTGCGGATTATTATCTGATTTGTCTCATCACTGGTCTCGGCGGAGTTGTTTGAGCTGACGGAGAGATTGCATGAATCGGTGATTGATAATGTTCAAGAGAATTGCTTAGATACGACGGCGACGCCATGAAATCAGCCATGAAATCAGTAGGTGATAGCTACATAGTCCTAGCTGGTGAGGAGCAAAAGGCGACGATGAATTGATGATGGTGGTGCTAGACGAAGCGTAGATGACGTCACCGGTTGAATCTGAGAAGAATACGATGTTGAGCCTAAGGAAAGAGACTCATCGTCATCATGTGCGTTGTCGTTTTGAGGTTCGTTGAAATTGAAGATACATCCAAATTAAAATTGGAAAGTCAAGGGTTGGATGAATGAAGAAGAAGAAGAAATCGGTAAGACATGGGTCGAGTTTTAGATTGGGTCGGGTTTATAATTCGATTATATTGGTTTGGGTGGATTTCTAATAGGTTTAGCTCATAAACCGATTGCCTTGTTTATTTTCGATTGCCTTTTAAAATCATCGTGTTTTAAAACTTGGTATAATCATACACCCGAGTTAACGATTGTCAACTCTGCTAACAACATGACTAACTGCGGTTAATACTTAACCTAACGTCGTTAATTAGACCCAAATAAAGATACGGTTGCCCTTATACAATTCCCCCAAATCGATTTGGGAGCATAGAACCCTAACTTCTCTATATCTTCTCTTCATCTTTACAAAAATGATGAGCCAAAGTTCAGGGTCTGATGCAAATTCAATTAGCCGTAGCTGGAGTCCTATTTGCAAATGTGGTAAGGCAACGACGGTTACAAAGGCATGGACAAATGAAAATCCGGGTAGAAGATTTTTTAAGATGTGGTGTTCATGGCTTCATCAATTGGGCAGATGAAGAGAAGCCATTTGGTTGGCAAAAAGTGAGCTTGTTGGAGGCGAGAGATGAGATTCGTCATCTAAAAGAGTCTGTAAAGGCAATGAAAGAACATATGGTGAGTGTCTCAGGGTTTGCCAATTACGATCATCTGAAGAAACCCAAGGAAGAGAAGAAGAAGCTTGAGGAAGAGATGAAGAAAATGGAGGAAGACAAGAAGAAACTGGAGGAAGAGAAGAAGCAACTGGAGGAAGAGAAGAAAAAGCTTGAAATTGAAGTTATGGGTTGTAATGAGAGGGAAAAATGCTTAGGCAGTTGATTGTGTTGTCTTGGGGATGCTTCATTGTTGTTGTTGCAATGTGCCTTGGAATGGGAAAACAAGTAAAAGTCTAGTTTGTTGTCTTGTTATGGTGATGTTGTTTGTTGTTTTGTTGTTGTAAGACTCTTTGTTTGAAATGTCATAATCCTAAAATATCATTGATCCAAAAGAGCCGTTTAGTTTGAAAAGGTATAGATCCCACCAAAAACAAATCAGGATCCTACCAACCAAACACATCATCCTACATAGATATCATCCTAAAAAGTCAATCAAGACACAAAAGAGAACATAAAAGACAGAAAAGTCATTATACTTCTTCTCAGGTCGCCAAACAATAAAGACCTTATCAGTCCAAGGGGACATAAAAAAGACAGGAGGTCTTGGAGCTTCATCGGATCCTTTACCACGGCCCTTGCCTTTACCCTTGTCTTTACTCTTGCCTTGACCATTTTTAACACCAGAAGGACGTCCATGAGCACGACCTCTACCACTTGGATTAGCTGTTGGAGCACTTGAATGCTGCGAATTTTGTGTGAATTGATTCTGAGAACAAGCTGGTATGGATTGGCTTTGAGCAACAAGTGGTGTGGACTGGCTTTGAGCATTCCTCCACCTCTTTGGTGCATTGTGGATGCTCCATGGATCATCATCATCCTATAACAAATCTGATTAATCATGGTATAGCAAATGTTGAATTTACAAGGTAAAGTCAGAACACTTGCAAGAGACTTTCTTGGTCTTTCCCTTTTGCGTGAAGGAGCTGAATGCACAGTTGTGTTTTTGCAGGTTCCCTTATTGTGACCAATCTGCTTACAATTGCTACATGTGACTATTTTTCCTTCTCTTGTTAGCTTTGTTGGAATAGTTGATGATTCAGTTGGCTCCTTAATCCTATCAAACTTCTTTGGTCTTCCTCACTTCTTTCTCTTATCTGGCACTTCAATTGATCATTTGCATGTTCTCTTCCATAATCTTTCTCCATTCACAGGTTCTATGTTGTCTTTGTAGGTAGCTTTCCAGACATGTGTAGCTAGATGTCTATCAACATAGCTACATGGCAAGTAAACTCAATAATCAATAGACGTTCTTTAACATGACATTATTGTTAAAAGAGATTAAGATTAAGTAACACTTACTCTTCTGGATCGCGGTTCTTCTCTCTAATAACAAATATAGCATGTGGACAAGGAATGCCTGTGAGATTCCACTGTCTACAACAAGCACACTCCCTAGTCAAGAGATTCACCGAGTAACTGCCACTACCCTCTAACACCTCATATCTGTTTCGCCACTTTTAAGAATTTGGCAAAACTTAGCTGACTTGTGGTTGCCTTCAAGAATCTACATTATTTTTGGTGGGAACCTTGTTTTACATTTCTTTGTCTTGTCACAGAGCTTAGATATCCGCTTCATGCAGGATCTCTTGATCTCCTCAAGCATATTTATCACTGGCAGCTTCCTTGCATCCTTAATGGTTCTGTTGAAACTCTCTGACAGATTGTTGCAAACATTCTCACAGCTAGACTGACAACTGAAGAAGGCTCTGCACCATGTTCTTGGATCAGTTTTCAACAAATCCTCATGGCCTTCTTGATCATATGATCTCAAAGCATCCATGTTGAATGAGTAGTCCCCTTTTGTAGCACTGTAAGCAATAGCCCAGAAGTAGCACAATGTGTCTAGCACAATGCCTATGTTTTGCTTGTGGAAGTAAATCAGCCACATCATTGATCAATCCTTTCTGCTTATCAGATATAACAGTGAAACCATCTCCCACACCCAAATCTAAATCCTTCTTCGGTTTCTCAACAAACCAGGCCCAAGATTCATTGTCTTCTACTCTTATTAGGGCATATGCAACGGTGCATCTTCGAAGATTGATCTTAAGGGAGAAAAAATATTAAAATATTATAAGAGCTTTAATTAAGATCTTTTGTAAAGTAATTGATTATTGGTAGAACATGTTTAGATCATATGAATTAATAATTTAATAATCAAAACATTTTAAAGTATATTAAAATTAAAAAATTAGTTTTAAAATTGAAAACATAAAAAGTAAACTTATATTAACATTGATTTGTAAATAAAAAGAACAAAAAAACATTAAAGATATAAATGAAAAACAAAAAAACAATCAAACATATTAATTAAAGGTTACAAATATTTTATTTAATTAATACAAAGTTACAAATATTTGAAAGATTTTCGTTATCACAAATCGCAACGAATCAGACCATGCCACGTCGCCACAAGATCAGCCCAAAAACAGTTCTAGCCCAAGAACATGAGAAGTGTTCTAAACCCACTTTTTACAAAGTTTATTATTATTAAACTCTAAGATCAGGCCTGAAGATGGGCCGTTAAACATGGTCTTATTACCCAAGCAATATGATAAATCCTATTCTCTGCATCCATACCAACTGCTGCTAGAATCTCACCCTTCAATTTCCATATAAGGAAAGCCCCATCTAGTCCAATAACTGGCCTACAACAAATCTTCCATGTCCTTCTTAGCTTCTCAAAGCATATATAGAACTTGTCAAATTGCTGCTTACCATCAGCTTGAGAGATGGTGAGAATCTCTCTGTGTGTCTCCTTATTAGACCTCTGCAGCTCACCTTCATAATCTCACAACTTTGCAAATTGTTGTTTCTGTGTTTCAATCACCAAATCAAACGCCATCCTTCTTGCTTTTTGGCATATCCACTTAGACACTGAAATTATGTACCTCATCATAATCTCATCCTTAATGTCAGTCCAACTCAGTGTTGGCCTCCTTCTTGCTTTATCTCTGAATAATCTGATAATCACACCTTGTTTCAGCTCCTAGCTTTTCCACTGATTGCATGGTGATGCGCATCCACATAATTTTTGACTGACCATTTCCCAACCCTTTTGTCTACAGAACAATAGATCTTCCATTTACAATTCTCATGGCTGCATATAGCCATCAGCTGTGTCTGACCCCATTTGCAAAGCTTCACATCATAATACATCTTCAAGACATACCTTAGAAGCTGATCCTTAAACTCTTCTCCATTGTAAAACATCTGCTTTAACCACAATTAAGGTGGCTTATCCTTGGTAAATTTTGCTCTTGATATCTCTCTTTCTTCACGGTCAAAAGCATCTCATTCTTCATCTGTATCCATAGCAGGATCAGGTCGCTCAGCATCCATGCATTGCCTCAAAATCATCTTCATCTTCTTCAGTTTCACCAGCAGCAACTCCTTCATCAGCTTGGTGAGTAGCCTCACCATCAGCTTCTTCTGGAACTTGGTGAGTCTCTTCATCAACAGCTTCTTTTGGAACTTCATTAATTTCCTAATAAAAGGCACTAAACCGAGGATCATCTCCCATACATTCTTCTACTGGATCTACACCATTAGCTTGTGCTCTGTCTTCTTCACCAGTTTTATCTCCTTCAACCTCTACATTAGACTCTTCATGCTCTCCAACAACATCCTCTTCACCAGGCTGTGACAGAGGAAACGGTGCAGGTTCAGACACAGCTTGCTGAATGTAGATATCTACTTCACCACCAATCAGAGCTTCACTACACAGTTGCCTAATCCCAATATCTTTGTCCTCAGAGATAGCTCTTACAGAATCAAAGTCTTCATGAGCAAGTTTGTACAAAACTGCTTCCACGACACCAGATACTCCATTCTCTTTCGGGAAATCGTCGAAGATCGACCACATCATCAAGTCTGGATCCATCAACATATCCCTCTTCTCGAATCCTCCGATGTAGGTGAAACATTCATCCTTGAATGAGACATCTCCTCCGAACTTAATATTAAGTTTCAAACAATCAAAACCACTGCAAAGAGTGAAATGAAGTTAGATACCTACTCAATTTATCCCGATAAACCCAAAATTCGAAACCCCCAAACCCAGAATTTCTCAAACCCTAAAAATCTTAAATCAATTACATACCTCGTCACGATGCGACCAAACGTACTCCTTGAACTCAAATTCTAACCAAATCGCAAGCAATCAGACGACTAAGCACATCGATTATCTCGATTTCAAACAAATCGATTCGATTTCAAAGAGATTGAGAGTATTAGGGTTTCTGATCCCAAATCGATTTGGGGGAAGAATGCGAAAGGGTAACAGTGTCCTTAGTTATGTCTAATTAACGACGTTGGGTTAAGTATTAACCGCAGTTAGTCATGCCGTTAGCAGAGTTAACAGTCGTTATCTCGGGTGTATGATTATACCAAGTTTTAAAACACGATGATTTTAAAAGGCAATCGAAATTAAACCAGGTATTTTTATTCCAAATTTAATAACACGGGTATTAAACGGCCAAAAAAAATAGATGGGGTTTTTTCGTGTTTTTTCCCTATTAAACGGCAAAAAAAATAGATAACGGTTTTTTTCTGGTTTTTTCTGGTTTTTTCCTTTTATATAAATGATGCTCATGAGTATTACAGTACGAATGAAAATCATCTTCCTCAACATTTGATCATATGCCATCTTCGTGAAAATCTACACATGCAAAACTGGTATTTAGTCAAAATATATACAACATGGGTTTCAGATTAGCAGAACGTAAGGAATACAAAAAGACAATCGTAGTGAAATATATATTTATTTTCACTAAAAAAAATTGAAGTATATCTTATTAAAATGTGAAAAAAAACTTCACGAAAACATTTAAGTCGTTTGTGTTGAAAAATATATAATTATCCATCCAAATAATATATATACATTATCCATATCTAGCTTGGGATGCAAGGCACTTGCTCACCAAGTTTTCTAGATATATATATACCCATGACTTTGAGATGTAATAAAGGTAGAAAGAAAGTTGTATTTTGCTTCTCTCTCCCACTCGTCTGCTCCTCTTCTCTCTGCATTTTATTCTTCCTTTCTTTGATTATACATATATATTATTATATTATATATATGTTTGAGTTATAGTTTTATAACACGTTATCAGCACGATGTCTTTACCACTAGAGCGTTTACGAGGTAAGTAAAATTTTATGATATTAAATTCATTTATGTTTATAGAACGTAAATATTTTAGACATCGTGAGACTATGCCTTTTTCCGGATAGATCGTTGTAAGTAGTAGGCTCTGCCTCCTTTACGATCAAATAAATGGCTATGCTTATTCCGGATCGATCGTCATATATGGTAGGTTTTACCTTCCTTACGATCAAGTGAAATTTTATATTTTTTCCGGATTGATCGATATATATGGTAGGCTCTGCCTCCTTCTCTACGATCAAACGAAAGCTATGCCTATTGAATTCTTAATGGAAGGCGATGCCTCCTGAATTCTTATATGAAAAGGCTATTGTCCATAAATTATTATTTTGTGAATTTATGTGTTTAATTACTGTTATTTATTTTATTCGTAAAGAATAAATATATGTGTTATATGAGATTTAAAGACTTTTAAATATGTCTTTAAAATCAAAAATATATTTCTCTTATGAGAATATATGAAGCACGTGTCAATATATTTTTAGACAGTGCAAAATAATTGGAAGGTCTAGGTGAGATAGTCTCTCGACTTCCAAATGCATCAGATTCATAATAATCGATGCTTTGTGTACTCTAAAGTCTCAAAGAAACTCGTGTAGTTTCCAAAATATTTTTCTTTATAATTATTATATTGAGACTATAAATAAATGTGGTATTGAATGTCCGACCACAATGGAGACATGCAAATGTATGATTATATCAAGCAAAAAATAAAGATGGCAAAATATTTATGATAGTAAACAAAGGTTTGCTAATTGCTATAATATAGTATAACCGGGCAAGCCATCCCGGTATAACAATGAAATTAATAATGATGATTCAAATTAGGATCCTTATAGTGCCAGCAAGGGCCTGATTGAGAGAAATAGGGCTATAATATAGTTTGGACCTCTTGTCACTACATCTAAAGATGTAAAACATGTTGTGTGCAAGTGGGTCTTCGTGCGAAAAAGTTGAAATCACACGATATAAAGCCCGACTTGTTGTACATGGTTTTTAAAGACCTGGAGTTCATTGTTAAGTAACATAATCTCCGGTCATGAATGTAATTACATTCAGGTACTTAATGAGCTTAACTGTCTCTAATAATTTAGAAATGTACCTTATGGATGTAGTGACATCATATTTATATGGATTATTGGATAATGATATATACATAAAAATTCTAGAAGGATTTAAAGTTCCCGAACCATTAGACTCAAAGTCTAATGAAATATGTACGGTCAAATTACAGCGATCACTTTACGGATTAAAATAATCCAGACGCATGTGGTATAATCGCTTCAGCGATTATTTCTTAAACAAAGAGTATGTTAATAATGAAATATGCTCTTGCGTCTTTATTAAGAAATCTCCATCGAGATTTGTGATCGTTGCTGTAAATGTTGATAACCTAAATTGGAATTCAAAAAGAGTGATTGAATATCACTAAAAATTTTATGTAAAGAAATAGAAGCTTATTCAAGCACTGCATGCTTCCGTCCACATTTCAGAGGTAACATTTTATTTATGTTGAATTTAAATATCCCCTTATTATTAAAAGGGAAGTACAAATTGAAAAAATAGTCAAATTTAGCCTCAATTTCAATTTCAATTTTGGATTTTGTTCTTTGCTAATCAAAATCGACGAGGGTAATTTGGTCATAAAGTTTCATTAAACTTTATGAGATCCGCGTGTTAATACTCGGGTGGGTTAGGAGTAATTAACTCTTAATCACATAGTCAAGTTCTTAATCGGGTTTAGCATCCACATAAGTCAATCTAAGCCGTTCAAATTATTTTGTAAATTTAGTTCATTTTTGGTATCTAAATATGAGCATATTCGATCATAATAACTGCAAATTCGATGTTATCTCTCATTATAACTGCAAATTCAATCATATATTGCCTAATCCCAAAAAAATCGTAATTACTATCTCTCATAAATATAATCCTAACCATAACCAACTCTACAATATTCATCATTTATCTAAATATAGCCAATCATTCAATTCTATTCCAAATTCGAATATATTTTGTTAATAGTATCTTTGATTTTATGCTTTGTCTCCAAGATATTCTCCTAGATTTAAAAATTATTGGAGCCAAAAACCCTAGCATCCTAGAATGCTATAAATATCAACGTCATTCTCATTTCCAATCCATCACTCAAATTCTTCTAAGCTTAGCATCCTTCTTATTTAGATATCACAAATGGCTCAAGCAATTGCTTACCTCGATGACATCAAACCATACAAAACCACTTGGAGAGTTCAGGTCCGTGTCCTTCATACCTGGAAGACATTTACCACAAAGTTTGGTGAGACTTTCGACATGGTTCTGTCTGATGTCAAAGTAAGAATTCTTTGTCATGTCTATATTAGTTCAATATATTAAAATAAGTTGTCTAATGATATACTAATATATTTCTATTTCTATGGTAGGGCAAGAAGATCCATGCGTCTGTGAAGAGAGAGCATCTCAACCGTTTTGAGAAGCTCATGGTTCCAGGAGAGTGGAAGGCTATTGAAAACTTTGGATTGACTTATGCAACTGGTCAGTTCAAAGCAACTGATCATCGTTACAAAATGGGCTTCATGGCTCAAACAAGAGTTGTGAGGATGGACCCATTGTCTGATTCTTATTACCTGTCATTGACTCCTTTCAATGATGTTTTAACTGGTGGTCTCAACCAGAACTACTTGATTGGTACATTTTCATATTCCCTATATTTTCATTTTTATCTAATCCTTTATGCAATATATATTGACGTTTTGATATTCTCTTTTGGTTGAAGATGTTGTTGGTCAAATCGTGAATGTTGGTGAAATGGAGACTATCGACGTCCAAAATAAACCAACTAAGAAGATTGATTTTGAACTGAGGGATCATACGTAAGTTTCATTCATTAGCTCTGTCTGCATTAAAATTAAAGAGCCTTATTTTTTTATCTAATATTGCTATTAAAATATTTAGGGATGAAAGGCTACCCTGTACTCTATGGGGTTCATTTGCAGAACAAGTTTTCACTGCCTGTGAAGCTTCTGCTGGTGAAATGGTCATATGTTTGGTGAGATATGCTAAGATCAAGACTTACAAAGGTAATTTGTTTTGGTATTAATATCATACCTATAGTTTTTTTAAATCTTTTAAAAATTGAACTGATGACACTTTCTTTATGTTTTGCTTTCTAGATGTAAGGAGTATCTCCAATGCTTTCAATACATCTCAGATCTTGATCAATCCAGACATCCCTGAGATTGTTGCCTTCAAAGAAAGTTTACCAAAAGATGGGCTTGCTCTTACTCTTCTTGAGTCTAAGCCAAAGCAGGAAATGATCGAGCTGCCTACAGGGGATTTCTATCTTCAGTTTCCTAAGAAGACCATCAAAGAAGTCGCTGAGATGTTTGATGTAATAGTTCTTTTTTTCTTTTACATTCTAATTTGATTGCATAGTTTATTCTAACCAACTTTTAAATGGTCCTATTTTCAGACTGGGAGGGTTAAGGTGCTCTGTACAATATATGATATTGACAGAGATTGGTCGTGGTATTATATTGCCTGTAGGAAGTGCAATAAGAAAGTGTCTAAGGTTGTCACAACTTCTCTCAAGCCACAATTCTGGTGTGACTCTTGCCGATCACCTGTGTGCAATGTGCTTGCAAGGTATGGTTCATAATCTAATGATATATTAATGATTTATTTGTTACTGAAATGTCTAAGTGTAACGATGAACTCAACAGGTACAAGCTACATGTTAAAGTAATGGATTCAACTGGTGAGATGAAGCTGATGCTTTTTGATAG